ACTCTGCGCTTGCTGCTGAAGATGGGCATGTGTGCTTATAAGAAAGTACGGGATACTTTTAGGTCAATTTGTGATTATACCTTATTACATACTCTTTTATGGGGAAATAAGTATTTTATCAGGAATATTATGTGATTAGAGTCGATATTGTTTTACTATATTATAGTTAGGAAACCGTAGTAGGGATTCATAAGTTTTATGTTAGGATATCTGACCATTCACAACTTTATGTTAATTTTACTATTCATTATTTATTCAAAAATTAACATTATTTATTCAGATTATTCATGGCTTTATATAAATATCTGATCATTCATAACTTTATATAAATTTCAGATTATTCACAATTTTATATATAACATCTGATCATTCACAACTTTATTTAAATATATGATCGTTCATGACTTTATAAATATATGATCATTCACAACTTTATTTAAATAACTGATTATTCACAACCTTATATTATGTCCCTCATGAGTGTTGTATTGGAATATGTTCATGCATGACTTTACTTTGGACTTAACTCTGTATTGGTTGACAGCCCCATAGACAGCAGCAACATTCCTCTGATGAGAGTTGTGCAGTCTGTCAAGCACACCAAAAGAGCAGGCCCCAAAACACTCAAGGAAGGCTGGATGGTTCATTTCACTGACAAAGACAAAAAGGTGACCATATGCCTCTTTGTATTCTTTCCCGATCAGTAGAAAGTGTGTCATTAACTTTTGATATCCCACTCATTGCAAGATATGTAATAGGTTTTGTTTATGAAATAATCTTCTTCTTCTGCTGCTGCTTCTTCTTCTTCTCCTCATTCTCCTCCTCCTTCTCCTGTTTCCCCTTGCCTTTTCTCTGCGTAGCTTTTTTTTTCTTTCTGCTGTTTTTTTCTTCTCCTCTTCTCCTCCCCTTTTCCTTTTTTTCCCCCTTNCATATCAGGTTTATTTGAATGCAGACTGTTGGTTCCTTGCCTCTCAGGCATATACACTCTGACTATGAAGGAAACACTCCTAATTAGTCATCTCCTATAACATGCTTGTTGGGGGAGGGGAGTGCTGGTGGATCTGTCCTTTTAACTACAAAATGGATCAGAGGAACCCGCATGGGAGTTCATGAATTTCAGCCTTCATATAATGAATTCTCTGACTTTATAAAATCCCTGTCTCTTAGCAAGCAGGTCCTCAAAGACGACCAAATAAGAGTTTGTTGAAACAGGATGTGTTGAGCCGAAAGATGAAAAAATCACAGCCTAGCTGTGAACCACAATACAACATGTCAACCGCCCTTTTAAGGGTGAGCGCAGATAGAGAAGAATATGAAGAAGAATGATGTGATAGGTGTTTTTAAAGATGTGTCTACCCAACACTTGAAGTAACATGCAGATTTTGACCTGTCAGTTTTGCAATAGCTTATTTCAACATGTTAAGCCATCATAATTTATTTACTGTGAGTCAAAAGTTGTCATCCCCATGTGGGATGCAATTTTTTTTGTTTGAAGCCCCACCCTGGCTTCTGCCGGGGGCCCTGAATATAGATGGGGCATAGATATGGCTGAAAGGGGTTTCTGAGACCTCTCTGCTGGTGATCCTCATCTACAAGGTGGCACTTTGTGTCACTGGGTGTTTGTTGCTTGTGTGATGTCCTGGTGGGGTACAACTACTTACCTACCTACCTACCTACCTACCTACCTACCTACCTACCATCCTAATTCTGGTGACACAAAACATTGTTGATCTAATCTATTTGAGAAATTATAAGTAAATATTTTTTTGTAAATATTTTTTTGATTTGCGTGTTTGAAAAATTGTTAACTTTCTTCTCTCTCTCTCTCTCTCTCTCTCTCTCTCTCTCTCTCTCTCTCTCTCTCTCTCTCTCTCTCTCTCTCTCTCTCTCTCTCTCTCTCTCTCTCTCTCTCTCTCTCTCTCTTTCTCTCTCTGTCTCTCTTTCTCTCTCTCCCTCCCTCCCTCTCTTTCTCTCTCCCTCCCTCCCTCCCTCCCTCTCTCTCTCTCTCTCTCTCTCTTTTTTCTTCTCCAGTGTGTGTGTGAGCATGCAAAGGGGCGGGAGGGGGGGGGGGGGGGGGGGAGGAATGCACACGTGCATGTCTGACTGTTTTGTTTTCTGTACTGTCATGCCTTCTTACAAAATTATTTTCATCTCACATACTGAAATCAGAGAAAAAGACATTACTGGCGGTTGGATCCTAAGTCAGTCATCTTGTACAATGATGATACTTCAAGAAGATATTATAAGGTATCACAATTTATTTATCTTTTTCTGTTACAAATATATTCTTCGCGATGTGTCTGGGTTGCAGCAGACTTGGCTGTAACCCTGTCTGTCATTTGCTATGTTAATGAATTTTGTGTTTCCTATATCATATTTTTTTTTTTTGGGTCCAGCTGTCTAAGCTTTCTACATACATCTTTTTCTGTATTTATCTGCCTATCGTACGTATTAGTACACATAAAGTTAAAATCTGTATTATACTACTTCTATTCCTGGCCCAAACATTTCACTAACCTTTTTTTCTTTATGGTTTTGTTATTGATTTAAATACATCTAAGGTTGTCTTCTTCTTCTCCTTCTCCTCCTCTTCCTTCTCCTTCCCCAACTATAAACTCTAGCAGAAAATTCAGGTTTTTGTCAACTTCTAGATTTTGTCTTTTTTTTTTTCCAGCACTGATTGTTAGGTGCATGTTCATTTTACAGGTTTGGCTTATTTGTTTGCAGTCTGTTGGCTTCTTGCCTTTTAGGCAGATGTGCTTTGACTTTAGAGAAAACATTGTGTTCCTGTCTAAATTGGCCAGGCCCTCGGTTGGGAACGTGTTTCTGTTCCTAACCAATATGAGCTTTGGTCGGAGTGCACCTTCGTGTGTCATTCGGCATCGCCTTGTGCCCTGCAGTTGCCAATACATCGCCATTTTTCTTTTCCTTGTGTCATATTCTCAGCATTGTTCTCAAAAAACCCCACCTCCACATCCTCTTGCTTTCTCGCAGTTTATTACCTTTTGTCTGGCATACACACACACACCCAAACACGAAATCACACCATAGACTTCATTTCTTCAGTATACTGACTTTTTTGTTATGGTATTATTTGTTTGTTTATTAAATGTAATGGTAATAGAGTCTTTTGTGTTGTGATTTTGTGAGGTTTTAAATCTCTGAAGTTTTATGTATCTCCTCTGTCTTACATCTTCTGTCAGTTTCATTGTGTGACCTAAATATGTAAAAGGGTTATCCATATTTGCTTCCTTTTTTTTTTTTTTACTTTCATTATACAGAGATAACTTTGGATTTTAGCTCCCATGTATGTCATCATAACTTCAGTTTCACAACGGTTTTTTTATAATCCTTTTGTTTATAAACAAGATATTTTGTTTTTCATAAAGAATTGAAAAAGCTGAATGTTATAAAATTCAGACATCTTATGTAATAAATCCTCATCTTTGGAGGATAAGGAAAACATTTCTGCATGTTATATAGAACCAGTTTTTAGTGTGTGTCTGTGATTCCAGCCAACATAGTTTTGCAAGAGGTGAGAATTTTCTTTTTAATTGACCTAGTCGCTTAGATTGAAAGTCTTGGACAGGTAGCAGGAAATGAACATTAACCCTCTCCCCTGGTAAATGCCGAGATTTAGACTTGTTAGGTTTTTTGTTTAACAGCATGTTGTCTTTGGGCAGTGGTCACTATGCCTGTATAACAGTTTTGGGGTGGGTTGCAACTGCATAGTGTTCAGGCATGTTGGTGCAATTATATTTTTTTTAAAGAAAGTTAAATATAACTTGGTTGGGGGAAAGGTGGGGGGGAATTGATTTTCCCATTGTCACTTCATCGTTGTGCCTTAATAAACTTGTGGTGGGTCATAAAATCTTTTTTTTTATTATTCTTATAGGTTAAAAGCTTTAAATGTGTCTGGCATGATATTGACCTCATTACACATCTGATCTCAGTTCGTCTATAAAAATATCAGGTTAACATTTGTATTCTGAACTGTTATGTTATCACAACTGATGTCACTGCACATTGGAAATTCCTGTGCATGCTCAGTCCTCCAATTCAGCAGCCACTTCAAGGTGCCTCTGCTGATTGTTTCCGTAAGGAGTTGGTTATAGTGTCTCCTGTTTTTACCTCAAGAACATCATAAACCTGCCTCACCAAGCTTTTCTCCCAGGTCACACCATCTTGTTAGCATCAGAGATTCACCATTATTCCCCAACTTAGTCCGTACAGCTTTGAATATATCAGCTCTGTCCATGCTTCTTCTCACTTACATTGCTACATTACTTGCCAGCTGGTCAGCTCTTTCATTACCATTTGTTGTAGAGATGATGGAGGTTAACTGCAATTTCTGAATGCTTTTAACCTTTAGTCATCTACCTGTTGTTATTTTCATTAGTGCTTACACTCATGGAGTCTAAAATGATTACTGCTTGTATGGTGTTCATTCTGCAACCATGCAAATGCTCTGATATCATTTGAAACCCCACCCAGGTTTCTGACGGGGGCCCTGAATATATCTGGGCATAGATATGGCCTAGCCATAGATATTGCCAAATGGCTGAAAGGGGTTTTTGTGACCTCTCTGTGGGTGATTCTCATCCACATGGTGGCGCTTTGTGTCAACAGGTGTTTGTTGCTTGTGTGATGTCCTGGTGGAGTAAAAAGTCAGTCAGCAGTTATCTCCATGGTCATGCTTGATATAGTTGTCTTGTGAGCACCACTATCTTTTTTGTTTTCCCCATCCTTTATGCTGCGTATACTGAATACATCTTGTGATACAGACAAAGGTCGATTACTTAATGTAATTTTACCTCTTTGCTATTTTGTCTTAAGTACATTTGAGTACTTAATTTTTTTTTTTTTTTTTTTTGGTTATCTTGTCTGCAGGAGATACAATTAAATAGTATTCTGAGTGTGGAAGCAGCAAAACCTGCCAAAGGTCAGGACTACTCAAGGCCACCTCATGTTTTTGAGATCATAGTCAACTCGTTGATCTACTATGTTGGTGAAGATCCCACTTTTGGACAAGAGTCAAACTTAGTTGTGTCCCCTGAAAGTGGAATAGGTCTTGAGCAGGCTAGGCATTGGGAATCTGCCATTCGTCAAGCACTGATGCCTGTCACTCTACAAACGGGTGTTGCAAATGTTGGAGGTAGGATAAAATATACTATATATAAATATATATATATATAAAAACTGTGTTACTTAATTTTCTTCTTTCCCTGTTTATGATTGCGGGTCTCAGTATGTATGTATGTAAGTTGTACCCCACCAGGACATTACACAAGCGATAAATACCCGGTGACACAAAGTGCGACCATGCAGATGAGGATCACCCATGAAGAGGTCCCAGAAACCCCGTTCAGCCGTTTGACCATATTTCAGCCTGGTTATCTTCAAGACCCCTGGCAAAAGCCAGGGTAGGGCTTCAAAAAATGCTGTTCTCAGTATAGTGGAGATTTGCTATGTATCTCAAGATATATTACAAAAATGTGGTTTATATTTTTTGTGAGTCATATCTCTCCCTCTTTCCTGTTATTTCCTTTTCTGTGTGCAGCTGTTGCTGTGCTTTTGTCTCTTTCTGTCTGTGCATCTCTTACTGTTCCTCCCTCTCCCTTTTTATGTCTTTGTGTCTCTTTCTATAGCTCTTCTCTTTCTGTCTTCTTTCTTTCTGAACATTTATTCTATTCTATAATTCTGCATCTGATTATTTCTTTCAGCCTCTATCTCTCTCTCTCTCTCTCTCTCTCTCTCTCTCTCTCTCTCTCTCTCTCTCTCTCTCTCTCTCTCTCTCTCTCTCTCTCTCTCTCTCTCTCCCCCCCCCCCTCTCTCTCTCTCTTTCTCTCTTAAACTTTTTTCTTGACCTGTTTTTGTTCTGTTTACATCTTCATTTCATTTAATATCTCTCCCATTCCATTTTTTATTTACTCCAGAGTGTTTTCATATATCAATCCCAGTGTGGGGTCTGGGGCCCTATTGTAGGGGACAAAGAACAGACCCACTGCCCCCTAACCTGCATGTTCTAAAGCCCACTAATTAGGGGTGTTTTCTTCAAAGTCAGAGTATGTCTGCCTGGGAAGTGGGGAACAAACAGTCTGCATACAATTAAGCCTGATTTGTAAAATGGATATGCACATAAATCTCAAGTTCTGGAAGAAAACTGGTCTAGAAGTGAACAAACAACCATAACTGGAGTTTACAGCCAGTGAATAAAAAGAGTAAAAATTGCACTGTTATTGTTAAGTGCCTTGGAATATATCTTTTTTATCTTCTCTTTCTGCTGTTTCTTTCTTTCTCTGTCTTCAGAGTCTTCTTCTATTTCTCCTCACTTTGCTTTCTGTTTCTGTTACTCCAAAATATTTACAAATATATAAATGTTTGTGCTGTTGTTGTGTGATTCTGCTTTGGTCTTTTCTATTTCTCCCCCCCCCTTACCCCCCCCCCCCCCCCCCCCCCCCCCCAATCCATTTTCATATTCATATGTCACTGCACACTGTATGCTATTATCATGCCAAATGGCTTTCCTAAAATCATTATAATTTTAAGCTATTATTATGTTTACAGTTCACAGTCCTGACATTTTGTGTCAATTTAAATTCAAAGTGTAACATTTTTTTTGTGTGTGTGATTATTTTCAACAGCAGATAACAATGGCTCTGGAGACAATCAGAGAACTGGTCCGGTGAGTTAATATCCACAATACATTACAGGCTTATTACAACTAGCATGAAAGTGTCTTTTCAATTACATGTAGGTGTTTGAAACTGACTGGCAATTGTCATGATTCAAATCCAGAAGTTTGTGTTGTTGATACTGGTTTATATGTGCATTATAAAAGTAAAGGACCCTTTTCTACGCCTTCAGGTGTATTGAACATATAGGGCTAGACCTATATTTTATAGACCAATCAGAGCTTGATAGGTGATGTGGTCAGCATTACGCTGGCCAACTTTTACTTCCAGGGACTTTAAAGGTAAAGGCTGGGTCAGCCTGGGGGCCACGGTCATTTTGTAAACAAAGTCCATCTCATCAGGACCTGAACCCCCAACCTTTGGATCCACAGGTTAGCATTTAGCCACTACACCAGCGGGTCTCAACCTGCGGGTCGCAACCTTTTTTTTGGGGGGGGGGGGGGGGGGGGGGGGGGGGTCAAATGACCCTTTCACAGAGGTCAACTAAGACCATCAGAAAACACATTTTCATTGAAGTTGTGAAGAAGTAAAGAAAATAAATGTATGTTTGGGGGTGGCACAACATGAGGAACTGTGTTAAAGGGTTGCAGCATTAAGAAGGTTGAGAATTACTGCACTACACGGTTTTCTGCACATATATATATACTCAATACGTACTGTGTTATTTGCTGATTCATGAACAGTGATTGAATGAGTAATTCAAAAGTCACGTACAGGCTCTACAAATGTGGATACATAAAATAATAGAACACATTTTTTTCTGTGAAAAGCAGAAGAAAACTGATAGGAGAAATATAAATTTTAAATTTAAAAAAAAAATGAACAATGGCTTATTTTTGTCACATCGTTCGACATTTTAAACTTGAATGTAGAATTGTCTTTACAAAAATTACACACAGCCAGTAAGATACTGGAGTTCATTATTAGAGTCCTGAAATGGATATACCGATACTTTTTATGACTTTTACTGGAGAGTACAGAGGAAGGCGGGCGAGCAAGGACAACATTGTACCCAATTTTACCAGGAGAGCAAATAATTTACTGAGACTTTAAGCACTGGTGTATGAAACTAAAAGATAGTATAGCAGTATCAGTATAGTTAAAAAAGTAAAGATCCCTTCTCATGCCTTTAGGCGCATTGGGCATATGGGAAGAGCACCTATATTTTTACCGACTAATCGGCACTAGGTGGGTAATGTGGCATTATTTCTTTACTTCCCCAGAACATACCCTTGCATTCATATCTCATCATTTCCACTTCAAACACACAAATTCCTATGCCTTTTATACATTCCTATATACTAATCCAACTGGAGAATGACCAAAAAGGATGCACACAAGCTGTCCACCTTCGACCACACATGTCTACGTAGAATTATCAAAATTTTCTGGCCAGATACAATCTCAAACACTAAACTACTTCAAACCACAAACCAAGAAACTTTAGACATTATGATTACCAAGAGAAGATGGAAATGGCTTGGCCACGTTATGAGAATGACTTCTGATATACCTGCCAAAACAGCTCTCACATGGACACCAGAGGGAAAGAGAAAACAAGGGCGCCCAAAAACAACATGGAGACGAACGATGGAAAGTGACCTGAGTGCGGCATCTTTGACATGGAAAACTGCATTGAAGATTGCACAGGACAGGAAAGCATGGAAAGTCCCCTCTGAAGCCTCATGTGCCACTAGGCATAACAAGAACTGATGATGATGATGATATACTAATCCACGTGTACTGTCAACCAGTACATATTATAATGCATAACTATGCATGTAACTAGTCACTCTTACAACCTGGATGTCCGTGCCTTTCCTCTTCTACGACAGTCTCCCTAGGGACCTCACAAACCATTCTGCCCATTTAACCTGAACATCTGAAACTTCTGTCTTACCTCCTACAGGTAGAATCTATTGTGCCCTTGAGCTGGCTTGAACATGACAGTCAAAGTTTGGTATCCCCAGCTTGCACTTTAACTTCTTATATTCATTCTCTCCAGGTCTTCAAATCACATCCAATTGTTAACAGTATTATAACTGCATTATTTACTTAGGCATTAGGTTAATACACATGATGTTTCCATTTCCTTGCAGCTCTGGCAGAGCTGTTCAGTTGGATAGTTTTCATGTCATAGTTACTGAATACCATAATCATCACCATGATGTGCCATGCCGGCAATCCAATAGTTACTATATCTTCCAGCAGAAGCCTAGATTCAGCATTACAAATTTACCACAGAAAACATATAATTATACAGAAAATTATTCTTCTGACAACTGTATCCATTGCTTTTCCTCTTGAATCAAAACAATGCAGACCTAGTTAGATACCTGAAAGGTCATCCTGTTCTCACCAGATTCATTCACTGCACTACCTGCTCACTACTAGTGACATCTGATATTGTGGCCCACATTTTTGACCTGGATATCATAGGATTCCCTTTCTGCTGCCTACACCAACCATTTCTTGTTGACGATTTGACTTGCACTGGTTTTGACAGTGGTACTGAGAGTTGACCATTTAGTAAGCAGTGGCAAACTACTAAACATAACATTTGCCCAGAAAAATCACAACAGGCAAAAAAATGCTAGGGTTAGTTCTGCAATGTCCTGTAAAGGATACAGAACAAACTTTATCTAATTATAGCAAAACAACATAAATACTATTTGCAAGACATTCAGAAAGGTTTCTTGAATTCTGTGACACTCTTAGTTCCATCATCATCACCCACGAGGTTTCTTCACCCCAAATGGCATTCATGTGGTCTCAGTCAGAGCAAGTGTCTCCTGTTTATCTGCTCGAGCTATATATGAGTCTTGCGCCCAATGTATCCCTCCTCAGAGTATATTCAACCTTGGCTGTTTGCCCTAATTCTCTTCTGCTTTCTTCTCTGTACCTAAGTTCATTAACCTATGTCTTTCCCGCCAATCATGCAAATTTCACTGGTAGGTTAATCAACTTTGGAAAGAACCCCAGCATCATGTATAGGTGCCTTTGTTTACTGACATGTTACCTCCCCTTCTCTGACTTTATGTCTGGGATTTCCTTTCCAACCTTCATTAGCATTTCTTTGTAAGTTTTACGTACATAGTTTTTGGCAGGTCAGAGACTCTAGGTACCCTTTTGTAAAAGTTTAACAGAAAATATAAGTTTATTGTCCTAGTTGACTGTTTATTTCTTTATGTGGCAATGTTTCTCATGGCCACATATTCATGAGTTGCCTGGTTGGTTTATAGAGTAAACCTGATCTTCAGTCGGTTGCATTGATGTTGAGCCCTAAAAGAACTTACATCTGTCAGACTAAGATTGATATAGGTACCTTCTTCCCAGCTCAGTGTTAAAGTATTATCATCTCAGGAACTATGCTGCAGAGCAGTATGTCCCCTTTCCAATGGAGTATTCAAGACCAACAGCGGAACTTCATATCTGTGGAGAGGTATGATGGTCCTTGGAAGTGTAGCCATACTGGAGAACTAATTTGTGGACAGGCTGCTTCAGTCATTCTGGTCTTGAAAGCCCAGCAGCTCACCAAGTATATGTAACTGCTGCCACTTCATGCTCTGATGCCAAATTTCTTTAATATTCTGTAACCCAATATAAAATATTAAGACAATCCATAGCATGATGGTCAGGATTCAAGGGAAAAGTGAATTATACATCATACATTCTGGACAGATCTGCTATGTGCCTTTACCTTGCTGTTTTACAGGCAGAAATTAGTCATCTCTATCACATTATACCAGAAGATGTCCTAGGGTCTGGTCAATTTGGAATTGTTTATGGCGGTATGTATGACAATTTGTACAATAAGGCTATGTTGTCTCTTCAGGTTATTTAGCATATTCCTTTTGTGTAATTTGTCAAGAGTGGATGGGCTGTATACCTGTGTGGGTTCTGAGGCCCAATTTTGGTGTAGGTTTGGGGGGGGGAATAAGAATAGACTGACTGCTTCCGTAACAAGTAAGTTGTAAAAGTTGACTAATTACGGGTGTTTCTTTCAAAGTCAGAGTGCATCTGCCTTGCCAGATAGGCAAGAATCCAACAATCAGTATACACATAAACCAGATTTGTAAAAAAGATCTGCATGTAAAACTCAAGTTCTAGAACAAGACTAAAGTCCACAAGTTGATGAGCAATGAGAACTTGTCACCAGAGTTTACAGCCAGTGAATGTGAAGAAGAAGGGTATAGTAGCTAGTGTGCTAGCCTTCCAGTACAGTGGTTCTGGGTTTCATCCTCAGTAGTAACGTGTGTGTTACTAGGGTCCAAACAGGAAGCCAAGAGTGGTAGCAATGTAGCCTTTCATGCTTGATCTAAGAGGTGGTTGACGTGGGGTTGGCTACTCCATCCTACAGAAAATGGGCAGCAAAACTAAACAAGTCTACAGAGGATTTGGAATGAGTTGGTTAAACGTTGAAAGTTAAAGTCGAGAGGAGAAACTTCATTGCATGGGCTTTAATCCCATTTGGCATGGTCTCTCTCTCTCTCTGCAGTATGACTAGCCACCTGCCAAGAGCATCACACAAAGCCCAAACACTGTAGCTGCTGCACTGATCCTCAGGATTCATTGTAAAAATATGCACTCATGAACCGAGTGATGCAGCCATGAAATGAAACCACGACCTTCAGTGTGTGAGACATACGACTTGACCATTTCACCAAGGAGGCTCTCAGTAAAATAGGAAGTAACTGTGTTGAATTCATATCCAGAAGTGTGACTTTTAGTTAACCCAAGCTCATTAAATATTTACCAGAGCTATGGAAAAGTGATTGATGCCAGTTTGAGAATGGAAGCTTTATTGTGTGCATGGCATATGTTGGAAAAGTCATGCCATTGTCCAGATTTAATTAGTTTAAAATTTAAACTGCTTTTTTTTTTTTTCTTCCAGCAATAATCCATTTATTAATTGAGGCGCAAAATATTTCTAAATTAAGCAAACATTTTCTTTTCTGAACAAATATTTTTAGCAATTTGTTTCACCAGAAAAGAAATATAAAAATATTATCGTTTACTGAAATTGTTGTTAGTAATATGTTTAAAACTTTATGAAACAAGTAGAAAATATTTTTCATCAGCTTACATGCCTTTTTTGTTTTTTTCAATGTTTTTCTTTTTAGGTCGGCACAGGGAAACAAATCGTGAAGTGGCCATCAAAGTAATAGATAAAATGAGATTTCCGACAAAGCAGGAGGCCCAGCTGAAGATAGAAGTAGAGATATTAAAGGTATCTACTTTTGATAATTTTTAGCTCATCCTCACAATGGACGGTTTCTACCACAGATACTCTCATGTATATTGTCATGTACATTATAGATACCTATTAGCACAACAGGATCGAGCCTGAATACTATCTAGCACATGCATAATTTAGCTCAAACAAAATTAAACACAAACATTGTCTAGTGCAAAATTAGTTTAGCTTAAATGCTGTCTAGCACAGAAAGGGTATAATATAAATGCTGTGTAGCACAGAGATAGTCTAACATAAATACTGCCTCGCACAGACATAGTCTAACATAAAAACTGTCTAACACAGACATAGTCTAACATAAATACTGCCTCGCACAGATATAGTCTAACATAAAAACTGTCTAACACAGACATAGTCTAACATAAATACTGTCTAACACAGACATAGTCTAACATAAATACTGTCTACACAGACATAGTCTATCATAAATACTGTCTAGCACAGACATTATCCAACATAAATACTGCCTAACACAGACATAGTCAAACATAAATACTGTCTAGCACAGACATAGTCTAACATAAATACCGCCTGGCACAGACATAGCCTAACATAAATACTGTCTAGCACAGACATAGTCTAACATAAATACTGCCTCGCACAGACATAGACTAACATAAATGCTGCCTGGCACAGACATGCTAGACTTGATTTAAGTAGAAACCTACATCTCTGCTTTATTGATTACAGAAATGCTTCTGATAGAATAAGACATGTTGACATGATAAAAAGGCTTACAAATTTACAAATTGATTATTACTATTATCTTATTATCTTCTCATCGTCAGTGCTGTGAAGAATTTGTCTATTTACTGACAACAAAAGCCACTTTACAGTGTTTTGTCACTGCCACCTAATGCCCTTGACTTTCATTCATTTCTAGAACTTGCACCATGGTGGAGTTGTCAACTTGGAGCAGATGTTTGAAACCCCGGAGAGGGTAAGTATATTTATTAGTTTATTCAACCTGGATAGAGAAATACCATCAGCAATCAGCGTGACACAATATTACTAGTTTTGGCAGCTAGTTGTTTCTTCTTCTTCTTCTTCTTCTTCTTCACTTCCTCTTTTACCGCTGTGGGTGTCGAGGGAGATATAAGGTTGTTTCTAGCTCTTCTGGCTGCCTCGACCATAGGCACATCGTGCTTTTGTAGAGTTTCTCTGATGTTATCCTTCCATCTTGTTCTTGGTCTACCCCGTGCTCTACGTCCTTCTTCTCTTTCCATGCTTTGTATGGTAAGCTAGTTGTTTGGTTTTTAAAATTCTGCCAATATAATGGAACCATTAATTTTAATCTCCAAATGTACCTATACATACACATACGCATATATGTTTGTGTGTGTGTGTATATATATATATATTTACCCACACCGTAAATTTTAGGCATACAATTTGGCCTGTGTCTTTTAGCTAATAATCCTTGGTCAACACATACCTACAATTTATATCTGCCATTTAAGTGGATGAGTCCCCGTAGCGGAGCGGCTAGATGCTCGCCGCGGATCGGAAGGTCGTGGGTTCGCTCCCTGTCGAAGCCTGACTTTTTCAAATATGACCTTGGCTCCCAGGTCGACCCAGCCTTCAGTGGGTACTGGGTACAGTCCTGGGAAGAAGTGGCCGGCGTGATGCTGACCACATCACCCATCTTGTGCCAATTGTAAAAATATAGGTCTAGCCCCATATGCCCTATACGCCTAAAGGCGTGGGAAATGGTTCTTTACTACTTTTTTACTTTTATTTAAGTGGATCCTAGTTTTGGAAAGATATTTAGTCTTGAAAACTCAACTTATAAACAGCAAATTATGATATATTTGTGTGTGTATGCCTGCCTCTCTTTACATTTTTTCTTCCTCTGCTTCTTTGTTGACTGGCTGTAAACTCCGGCGAAAAGTCCTGGTTGTTTGGACTTTGGCTTTGTGCCAAGGCCTGAGTTTTGTGTGTACATCTGTTTTACTGTCTTGTTTGTGCGCATATGGTTGTTCCTTGCAGCTGCACTCTGACATCGAAGGAAGTCCCCAGTTAGTCAGTTTACACGACATGCTTATTGCGGAGGCAGTGGGGACAGTTTTTGTTTTTCTCACAGTGGGTCCAAGAACCCACATGGGAAAAATTTGCATTTAATTGTCACAAACTACTCATTATGATAAATAACCTCCCATTAGAAAAGAGTGATATGCTTGCTGGGCTATATTTATTACAGTATAATGAACATATTCAGACGTATGGCACATGGTCTGGTCAGTTTTACTCCCAGCCTTATGTCTATAAAATTGCAGAATCTGTTTCCAGATCTGTCTTCCTCACATTCTCCTCCCACCTTCCTCAAACCCCTGCTCTGTGTGTGTTTGTCTCCCTCCCTTTATCTCTGTGTATGTGCACTCTCTCTCTCTCTCTGTGCGTGAGTGTGTGTGCATTTAGGCATGCATGTTTATCTGTGCATGCATGCAAGAATCAGGTAGGTGTGTGTACGCATCTGTATGTGTGTGTATTTCTGCATGTTTATATGAAGGTGTGTATATGTATATGTAGGTACCAAGATTTGTATTTATGTACATGCATATGTATGTATTACATATATGAATATGTATGCATGTACTACGTATGTAAGTGTATATATCTGATTATGTATGAATTTTAGAGATTATATATAAAATTCTTGCTGTGTGAAGGATGAATGGTTGGAATGGCTGCATGTAAGATGGACATATGTTCCCCTCCCCCATATTCTACTTTACAAATTTACCACAGAAAATAAATAATTATACAGAAAATTATTCTTCTGACAACAGTATCCATTGCTTTTCCTCTTCAATCAAAAAACAATGCAGACCCAGTTAGATACCTGAAAGGTCATCCTGTTCTCACCAGATTCATTCACTGCACTACCTGCTCACTACTAGTGACATCTGATATTGTGGCCCACATTTTTGACCTGGATATCATAGGATTCCCTTTCTGCTGCCTACACCAACCTGTACCTCTGTTGTTCTGCTTGTCATATAACACCTTTGTTTCAGCTTTCTGGTACCCTAACTTGCTCATTTTACTTGTGTTCGTTTGTTTGCAGATATTTGTTGTTATGGAGAAACTGAAAGGAGACATGTTGGAAATGATTCTTTCAAGTCCTAAAGGTCGACTGAGTGAAAGAGTCACAAAGTTCCTTATATCACAGGTAAATGCTGGTCAAGGCCACTCACAGGTAAAAATTATTTAGGCCTTTTGCTTAAGGATCATTTCCACTGCACACAGCTGTAGTCTGCTTTCATAGATCATACAGAGAGAAGCACAACATAGCACACAAACTATGGAATCAAAGAGGATCAAGATGTGTTGTTTATACCAGAATTAACCATGCTATTTTCTTAATGATGTAAATAAGTCAAAATTGGCATCTCCGTTACTGCCATAAAATCTTGCTCTGATGATCAAACCAGCCACTTGAAAAATCGCTTCATTCTTAGTTTTGACATTCTCAGACCTGTAGGGATCAAAATTCAGCATACCTGTATTTAATTTTAATTTACTTGTTTATATTTTTGTCCCTTTCTTCAGGTGCCTTCTTTTTTTATTTGTTCCATAATATAGCCTGTAATATCCGTATTAGCTCCTATTCCATATTTCTGGTTCCATTTTGACCATATTTTCCTGCATACATCCTTCCATCCTTCTCCTTGCAAGGACTCCATTCCATTCTGCCATTGCTTTCTGAATAGTCAACTCTCGGTAACACTGTCAGATTGATCACAAGACAAAATCGTCTGCAACTGGGATCGAACCCAGCACACCCACATTATGATGCCTGTTCGCAGTGCCTAAGCCACGGATGCCGACTTGTCATGTACTGAGTTACCATATGTGATCCTAAAAATGGGGCTCTAGGATCCACACTTGGAATTTGGTTTTGTGTTTGTTGAAAATGTTTAATTTTGAAAAATAAACATCTTTGATTCGGAGTCATCGGGGCTTAGCGCCTAGACTTTCGCGTGCGGATTGGAAGATTGTGGATTCACTCCCTGGCAGAGCCAGACTTTTTCAAAAATGACTTTGACTCCCAGGTCGACCCAGTCTTGAGTGGGTACTGGGTGCAGTCCCGGAAAGTAAAGGCGGCAGGCGTGATGCTGACCACATCACCCATCTTGTGCCGATTGGTCTATAAAAATTTAGGTCTAGCCCTATATGCCCTATACACCTAAGGGTGTGGAAAAGGGACCTTTACTATACATCCTTGATTTCTCCTTTATAATTGTTACTGATAGATGGTGTTTTTTTTCTCCCCAGATCTTAGTTGCCTTAAAACATTTGCATTCCAAGAGTATTGTCCACTGCGACCTCAAACCAGAAAATGTTCTCTTGTCCTCAGAGACAGCGTTTCCTCAGGTGAGCCCATTTTAAAAACAAAAACAAAAACTGCCTCAAAGTGAATTTTATGTTAGGCTATGTCAACCCATTTGCCATCACTGCACACAGGGCATTTCCATGCATGCTCGGTCCTCTGGTGCAGCAGCCGTCCTAAGATTCCTGTATTGACTGTTCCCATGAGAAGTTAATCCCTCCTGTGTTGACCCTGAAAAACAGGAAGAAATGCTTCCCCATGCTTACGTCGAGGTTATATGATAGGGTTAAGCTCAGAGACTCGTCATTATCCACCAGCCCAGTTTGTGTAGCATCGATTATATCAGCTTCGTGCATGCATCTTCCCAGATGATTTGTTGTATGACGTACCACTTGGTCCGCTTGTTCATTGCCTTTAACACCTGCAAGGCCCACGTGAAGATCTATGTGGAACAGGTGAAGTGTAATTTCTAAATACCTTCTAACTATTCAGAATGTTACATTGATTGCGTTTACAGTTTCAACACTAGGAAGCCTTTAGAGGAGTAGATTTCCATGAAATCTGGATTTACCTAAGTTATGAATATGTTGAATTAAAAGTTGACATCACAGCACTCAGGGCACTCCTATAAGCACTCTGCCCCCATCTTCAGCAGCAAGTGAAGAGTTCCAATTCGGATGGTGCCAGTAACTGTCTATGACATACATGAAACTTCAATGCTTTTACCCCCAGGGGTTTCACAAAAAGTAGTTTGTTTTGTTTCTTTTAAATTATTTCATAATTTTATGTTAGGCACACCAGCCTATCTTGCTATGTGGCATATCTTTTGTATTGAAATGTCATTTTGTGTGGGTGCAGATCTGTGGCTTAGAGGTTAGCAAATGCATTTCACAATTTCACAACCCTTGAATTATTGCACAACACATGTGTTTTAGGGAAATGTAAAATTAAAGGTGTTAGACACTCTCTTGGCATCCTGAAGGCCTTTGGTTAAAATTCATTGTAAGGCCTAATTTATTTTTTCAGAATTGATCTTGTCTCCCAGGTCGACCCAGCTTAAAATGGGTACCAGGTAATGTCTGGAGAAGTAAAGGCAGTCGGCAGGGTGTTGACCAGATCTCCCACAGATTACTGATTGATCTAAAATAATGTGATTCGAATATCATGTGCCTGATGTGTCACTGACGTATATAGAGTCCTTACCTTTTTTTTAATTTTTTTTTAATAGAAATGTATTACAGGTCTGCATGAGCGAACTTTATTTTTAAAAGGTCACAAACTGGGCACACAGGCCTGTCTTACATTCAGCCCTTCCAGTGAACAGAAATTAGCACCGAATTAGCCATATTTTCTGCTTTGTGCTGACTGAAAGTAACAAGGAATATAGCACATTGTGTCATGTTAGAGATTCACTGGGGGAAAGCAAATCACAAATAAGCACAGAAAGAGTAAAAACAAAAAAGGATATTAACAGAACAAGAAGTAATAGTATACATTATAGTGAAAGACATGTTGCATAGTGGTTAGTACACTTGCTGTCCAAAAACAATGAACCAGGTTTGATTCTAGCTGTGGCAGAATTATTGTGCATTGTAGCTTAGCATGTATACAAAAAGTACACTGTAACTGAGTATGTTTCTACAAGTACACTATAACTGTACATATATTCTAAGAGTACCCTGGAAATTAATGTGTAAACTAACAGTACATAGTAATTGAGCTAATTTTCTGAAAGTGCATGATATCTAATCAGTAGACACTTAAAGTACACAGTAAGCATGTATTCTAAAAGACATTATAACTAAGTGTGTATACTAAACGTAAATTCTAGATATTAACATGTCTATCAATCATAACACATAACCAGAAGAAAGTTTACAGTCAAATAAAACTCAATCCAGAACATCCGTTTTCATTACTGATCTTATTTTTCAGGTAAAACTCTGTGACTTTGGTTTTGCAAGAATCATTGGTGAAAAGTCATTCCGTAGATCTGTAGTTGGCACACCGGCCTATCTTGGTAAGTACCATATCATTTGTATTGGAATGTCATTTTGTGTGTGTGCAGTTCTGTGGTTCTAAAGTTTGTAAATGCATTTCACAACCCATGAAAATAATGGCTGGAAAGATCAGGGGCAGATATGGCACAGGCAGACCATGTAAGTTGATGCTGGAAAGTATGAAAGGTAGTATGAAGGAATGTCATTAATTGTTCTTACCTGCATAGGGCAAAGTATCCTGTAAGTTGATGCTGGATGGTATGAAAGGTACACCTGGCTGGTGTAGCTGGCATAATTATAACTTCTCTGGAGGTTGAGCCAGGTTTCTGTCGTCTGCCTTGTTCGTCTGCTATCCTGATTTGAGATTTGTTAATCTTAGGATGGTTAGGTAAACTTTAGGTAGCATCCCGGAGGGGACAGACCAGTTGATCATTCAGATATTGCTAATAAAGAAGTCCACATCATCCTTACCCAGACAGGAATGCAAGTAACACCAGGGTGATGTAACAATTACTGGTATGCCAGTTATACATTCACCGAACAAGATGTCAGGAATTAGTTCAGTTGGCTCGCTATTCAGATTAAGAATTTATAATCTCAGGGTAAGTAAAAGTAAAGTAAAGATCCCTTTTCATGCCTTTCGGCGCATCGGGCATATGGGCAGAGCGTCCCATATTTTTACAGACCATCAGCTCTCTGTGGGTAATGTGGTCAGCATTACGCCGGCTGTCTTTACTTTCCCAGGACAGCCCATCCTGGTACCCATTTTAGGCTGGGTCGACCTGCGATGTCCCATACCATGATAAAAATCCACGCAGCCTGCAGTGGGTTTCGATCGCGGTATGCTGGCTCACGAGTCGGACTCGCAACGCCTTAGCCACGGACGCCGCTTAATCTCAGGGTAGTCAGAGCTTAAGATAGCTGCCAGAAGTGGAGAAAATGGAAGAGATTTGGGTAGGTAGGTAGGTAGGTAAATTTTACACCACCACGACATCACACGAGCTATAAACATCTGGTGACACAAAGTGCCACCATGCGGATGAGGATCTCTCATGGAGAGGTCCCAGAAACCCCTTTCAACCGTTAGACCATACATTTTTATGGCCTAGTTTTAATCACGGCCCCGGCGAAAGCCAGGGTGGGGCTTCAAATTTTAAAAAATTCCATCCCACATAGGGGTGACTATATTATGATTAGAGATTTATTAGTAGTAGTACATTTGACCCCACCAGGACATCACACAGCAATAAACACCTGATGACACAAAGTGCCACCATGAGGATCACCAGTGGAGAGGTCCCAGAAACTGCGTTCAGCCATCAGGCTAAATCGCGGCCCCTGGCAAGAGCCAGGGTGGGGCTTCAAAATAATGAAAAATTGCATCCCACAGGGAGATGAATATATATATTTACAGATAAGAGACTTAGAAGGAATGTTGTTTCTATAATTGATCATCAGTATGTATGCCATATGAGAAAAGTTTGAATATCTTGAAAAACTGGAAAGATTTATGTTGGGGAAAAAAGACAGAAGAAGACAGTAGGATAATACCAGGGATACAGCCAAATTACCAACGGGAAAGCACTGTCACAACTATGATGCAGAAGTTCAAGCCATCAAGATAGCGGCAGAGAAACTACTAAATACAGGGTATTTTTCACAACCAGTGGTATTCCTGACAGATGCAAAAGCAGTACTTCAGTCACTCAAGTCTGGAAAATTACCAAGCATACGGACACTATTATCCGAACTAGGCAACCGCTGTAAATTAGTAATGCAGTGGATACCTTCCCACTGTGGAGTTCCCGGAAACGAAAAAGCTGATAAACTAGCTAAGGAAGGTGCAACTGAAGAACAACCTAACATACCAGTCTCTTATCAACAGAAGAAGAGAATAATCAAATCAATCAGAATGCCACCAAAACTGGCACAAGATGATTACCATATTATGGACAGACCAGAGCAAGTCATTATCCTTCGCCTTAGAACAGGGCACAATCGACTTCGCTCCCACATGTACAACAAATTTAAGATTGGCCAATCAGCCATGTGTACTTGTGGACTGGCACCTGAAACAACAGATCACATCCTTCAAGACTGTCCCAGATTCAACGCTTTCAGGCAAAACCTTTGGCCAGAAGAGACACTTGTGGAAGTCAAACTTTACGGGCCGCTTAGTGAATTACAAAAGACAGTGAAATTCATACTAGAGACAGCTTTGCAGATATAGACAATTTATTTCATGCGAACGAAAGAAGAAGAAGACAGTAGGAGAAGATTCTTGATTGCCTTTTATTATGGTGTGGAAAGGTGTCAGCACTTAAACTGGTACACACTGTTGGAGATTGCACTATATAAGAGATTCAACAGAGGGAGTGAGAGAGAAAAAGGGTGAGAATTATAAGCACATCTTTATTGTGATTCACACGTAGTTGCTGCTGATAGAGATTGAATATGTGGCGAGGTGCCACCAGAGCGAGAGAGAGAGATAGAGATAAAGAGAGAGAGAGAGAAAAGAAAGAGATAATATGTAATTTTAACTTATTTTTTCATTTGGGTTTGGGAATACTATTGCCACTTTTTTCGCCTTATTTTCCAAACACACATGTCATAAACAATGACTAATTAGGAGTTTGCTGCAGTCAGTTGTGTTGGGCCAAAAAGTGCATATATCACAGCCTAGCTGTGAACTGCAACACAACATAGCAACTGCCTTTTAAAGGATGAAGAAGAAGAAGGATGTGTTATTTTGTGATTCACACTTGATTGCTTTAATTGTCCTCAGCCCCAGAAGTGTTAAAGAGAAAGGGCTACAACAGATCCTTAGACATGTGGTCAGTTGGTGTTGTAGTTTATGTCAGGTAAGTGGCCTGTCATCAGATGGACACGGTTTCGTGAGACATATTTTCTTATTTAATGTGAAATAGCTCATTCAGATGAGGGGATAGTGATGGGAAGTGACCATGGGATATGGTCAATGCTTTGCACTCAGAGGAAAGGCAAAATAGATATGCGGTCAAGCTGCTACTCGTACTATTGGCATCAGAACTCTTTCATGTCTGCTGAAGAAAAGGATGGATGCTTAGTGGAATGTCCTGAGTCTGAAGAAAAGGATGGATGCTTAGTGGAATGTCTTGAGTCTGAAGATAAGGATGGAATGCTTAGTGGAATGTCCCGAGTCTGAAGATAAAGATAGAATGCTTAGTGGAATGTCCCGAGTCTGAAGATAAAGATGGAATGCTTAGTGGAATGTCCTGAGTCTGAAGATAAAGATGGAATGCTTAGTGGAATGTCCTGAGTCTGAAGATGAAGATGGAATGTTTAGTGGAATGTCCCGAGTCTGAAGATAAAGATGGAATGCTTAGTGGAATGTCCCGATTCTAAAGATAAAGATGGAATGCTTAGTGAAATGTCCTGAGTCTGAAGATAAAGATGGAATGCTTAGTGGAATGTCCCAAGTCTAAAGATGAAGATGGAACACTTAGAGGAATGTCACGAGTCTAAAGATAAAGATGGAACGCTTAGAGGAATGTCCCGAGTTTGAAGATAAAGATAGAACGCTTATCAGAATGTTCTGAGTCCTTTATGTCGGCTCTGAACTCAACTGAATGTTTTTGTTTTTGTTTTAAATATAGATGGGCTTGAAATATAAATAAAGAAAGTGAGTTGAAGTTGAAGTAACAAACTTAGTGCCAACACAGCTTTGAAAATTACAACAAAATTGAGCTACTTTACCTGAAACAACCAACGGTATTGTTTTGGTTGTTTTCATACACTCTCTAGAACATTTTTAACTGTGTATATGAGACAGACTAAGTGTATGTGTGAGGAAGAGAAAAAGAAACCCCAGGGGATAGATATTTTTCCCCAGACACTTAGCTGTTGTTTACATCATGTTAATTGATGCTAGAATTCTTGTATATATGAGTTGAGATGATACAAGAACCAACATCACAGCACACGAGGGAATTCCCATAAGCACTCCATCCTCATCTTCAGCAGCCAAATACAGAGCTCCAAAACCAGTGGTGTCAGTAGCACTCTGTTTATATGTCCATCTTGCCCTTCCTCTGAGCTTCGAGTGTCGGCCAGATCCTCTCATCTCTCCTAGCAGCATCATTTTTACCAGACTGTGTTGATCATTTTGCTGTTCTAAATTGTACAAGTGCTCCCGTAAGGCCTTAACCATGTCTGCCTTATCATACATCAACATCCCACCAAGTTGTGCACAGCCGGCCAGTCTGTCTGCCTGTTCATTTCCTAACACACCAGCATACCCAGAGAAAAGATCTAGACAGTGCTCTTCACCCTTGACCTCTGAAGCAACGCCTGTCCTCACCTTCCTCAGCATGCTTTATGAGTCAGTTACAATCATGATATGTGTGTTGTGTGTCGTGTACTTTAGCCAGTGGAAAGCTGCAGTGACCGCCTCCACCTCCATTCTTAAGCTGGATGTTGTATCAAATACTAGGCTCTCCTGTACCAAACTTCCACCATTAGCTTTTTCTAAGAACCCACAAGCACTTCTTTTGCCTCTTGACACTGAACCATCTGTATAAATAATAACATCACCCAAGCGAGCATTATCCTGAATTAATTGCTGAATTACCATCTCCGTGGCACCTGCTGACCACTCTCTGTACTCCCAGCTCAATGTGATTATGACTACACAAGTCTGACTGTTCTGCTGGCACTCTGACCCACTCTGATAGAATAACACTCTTCTTCTTCTTCTTCTTCTTCTTCTTTTCTCTACTCCTGAAATTCCTCACGGCATCAGGGGAGGAAGAGATCTCTTAAAACGGTCCATTCTGTTCGCTTTGTATATAGAATAACACAATGCTTTTGTAATCATCTGTTGCCTTAATATGTATAAGTCATCATTAATTTACACAAGCTTTGAGCAGAATGGCAAGCTTCATTTTCAAGGTAGTGAGCATACTTTGGATCTTTTCTCCAAGTCATGTAGATGTGGTGGGGGAGTGAACAGGCAGACAGGCTGGCTGGATCTGCATCGCTGGGTGGTGAATTGATGCATGATAAAGCAGATGGGATCAGAGCCCTTTGGAAACAAGTAGCGAAGTCAGAAGAGAAACTAGATTATTATTGGCAGGAGAGAATGATGCACCAGGGTGTGACAGGAGGCTGGCACACTACTCTCAAAGGAAAGGCAAAACAGAACGAACGAACAAACAAACGAACAAACTTTATTTTCAAAGGGTTAAGAATTGGGCACGCAGGCCCGTCTAACATTCTGCCCTTCCACTCAGCTCCTTTCATACAATGCTTTCATTTTTACCTCATTTCATAGTTAATAATAATAATAATAATAATAATAAAAAGAGGAATGCACAATTAAAAATTTGAGAAATATAGAAAAGAAACAGAAGAACAAAAAAGAGAAGAAAAAAAATTACAATATCTAAGTCTTAATTACAAATGCTGGAATGTGCTCTAATTTATACTGACATTACTTGAACGTTTTAAAGAGTATAATAATAAGCCTGTTGCAAAAATGTTGTAAGTCTTACAGGCTGCATAATATAAACATCATCAAAACCAATGAAATATTAGTTACAAATATTGGAATACATTCGACTGACATCTTCAGTTTTAAACAATAATAAGCTTCAGTTTTCAACCCCAACCAAGTTCCCCGACACCCCCCCCCCCCCAAAAACAATTTAATAAGAAATACATGAAAGCCTTAACATACTATAATCTTTTTAGGGGGGCATATAGTCTGTAGTGAGACAATATTCAAATAGTTTCCAATTGTATCTAAAGGGGATATTGATATTTTTTATTTCCGGTGGAAGATTATTCCACAGCTGAGCTGCAGAGTACGCTAAGCTTGTTTTATATAGGTCTATTCTAGGTTTAGAGATATGCAATATGTTAAGGCGTTTGCTATGTCTTCCATTGTATTTAAATAATGGCCAAAGGTAACATGGAGCGTTTTTAGATATGATTTTCTTAATAAGTTTAGCTTTATTGAATAGTAGGCGTTCCTGGAGCGGTAATAGCATGAGTTCTTTATATAGGTGCAAACAGTCACTTTCATGACTATTAGCTATTAAACGAACAGCCCTTCTGTGTAGTGCTTTCAGCCGTTTGATGACTGAATTTGCACACCCATCCCATATTGTGGAGCAATAGTCTATGTGGGTCTGAATATGAGAAGTATAGAATAATTTCCTAGAGTTTTCATCCAGAAAGTTTTTAATTTTTGCTAGTTGGTATACCTTTGTAGCAGTTTGCTTAACAAGTGTTTGCACATGGGAGTTGAAGGTAAGATTTCCATCGATGATCAAGCCTAAAGTTTTGTGCTCAGTTACACTTTCTACTGGTGTGTTACCTAGGTAGAGTTGAAGGGTTCTATGAGAGTTTAAAGTGCACAGTTTTTGTCTTGTTGTTATTAACATAGATTTTGTCTTACTTATGTTGATTTGCATGCGGTTTGCGTAGCTCCAACTAACTACATTGTTTAATTCTTGTTGCAAAGACAACTCTAGTATATTACAAGTTCGAGCATTTGAATGGATGGTACAGTCATCAGTGAATAAATCGCACGACGACGACAGACTTAAGGGCAGATCATTTATGTAAATTGCAAATAGAAGGGGGCCAAGAATAGAACCCTGAGGAACTCCAGAATTTAAAGTAGTAGTCTGTGATATAGATTTATTATGTGAAACAACTTGTTTTCTGTTTAATAAAAAAGATGTTAGCATTGTTAATAGGTTGGAACTCACTTTCATTGTTACCAGCTTTCGGATTGTCCTGAGTGCTTTGAATTCAATTTTTAACTCAGCTCAACTCAACTCAGATATACAGTTTACTTTATGTTTTCCTTTTTTTTTTTTTTTGCAGCCTCAGTGGAACGTTTCCGTTCAATGAAGATGAAGAAATCTCTGAGCAGATTCAAAATGCATCTTTCATGTACCCTCCTACTCCATGGAAAGAAGTCTCACAAGAAGGTTAGTGTATTTGTGAATGATAGGTTATACAGGGAGGGGGGGGGGGGGGGGGGGGGGGGGTCCTAACCTGCAGTTTTTTGTAATTTTCAAAACTGTTTGTACTGTTAAAGCAGTGTTTTTCCTGTTGTGAATTTGAACAAACAAGACACAGCTTCTCCACCTTGCATTTGCCCTGGTGAAACAGACAGTTTTTGAATGTAGTCAGTGTTTCAGTCAATTCTTGCTTGTTGAAATCCCCATAGAGTTTGTCATCAAATGATGCTAGTACAGGCCAGAATAGTATTTCTTTACTGTGCATATGTTGCGCACTGTTGTCGTGCAAGTTTATGCTCTCATTTTACCAATTCCATAGTTGCTTTCTCTAGCACACCTATCCTTAGTTGAGTCAAGTTAAGTTTTAAAAACTGACATAACAGCACGCAGGATGTTCCCATAAGTGCCCTGTCCCCATCTTGAGCAGCCAGCAAAGAGTTGCAACTCCAGTGTTGTCAATAGCAGTCTGATTGTGTGTCTCTTTTAGCTTTCCTCCGAGTGTGGAGTGTCTGCCAGATCACCAGGTCACTCATTCTCTTCAGATCTAAGTATGCCTCCTCACTGTCCACTCACTTCAAAAGGGCTTTTATGTGATGAGGTGCTTTGCATGGTCCTCACGATTACATAGTGGCAAGCAGAAAGTCCGTGCAACAAAAGACAGCACGAGATACTTGTGCCTAGTCGAGGAAGCGAGGGAAAGCCCAAGCTAGCCTCGTGGTCAGTGGATCATGAGAATTCAGAGAAGACGGTTGTAGTATTTGAAGATGTCGTCTTTATGTCGCGAGAATGGTTAATGTTCGAATATGTCGCGAGTGATAAAGTGTGAATAATGTTTGAACATGTGAAATAAATGGACCAGAATAAACTGACAGAATGTACCAAGAAGCTGAGCGGCGTTTGTGTTGTCAACCCTAGACGTGAAAGTAGTGCAAGTTTTGTAGCAGTAAACATCCAGAGAGTGAGCCGTGGGGAAAGCCAATATGTAGTGAGCCAAGGTACATTTCAAGGTGTAAACCACGCTTCAGTTCAAGTAAGCCAAAGTGCAATCCAAGTGAAGCAACGAATTATTGCATTTTACAACAACTAGCTGGTCATGCATCAGTTGACCACTGAGTGGTGCATGACCACTTAAGGAGTAGCTGGTCAAACTGTTCACAGCACTGGGCTGTCAGGCAGGAAACCCAGGTTCAAATCCTTAGGAAGGTTTTTTTTGTATTTTTACTGTTGTGGACAAAAATAAACTACTAATCGGCACAGTCCTTGGCGACAGCACTAGCTATGCAGCCTTAAGTCCTCAGGCTCAAAGACACCTTGCTTCCCACACCACACAAATGGTCAATACAGTTTTTAGCAGGTGCAGAACCAGCAATCTGTCTGCCTATTTGTTTCCTATCTGTAGTTTTCACAACCAGCCAGTCAGTCTGCCTGTTCATTTCCTATCTTGAGTTTTATTTACAGGTTTCTTATTCATTAGTCTGATCTGCTTGCTCATATTTTTCAGGCATTGATCTGATCTCGAACTTGCTGCAAGTAAAGATGAGGAAAAGATTCACAGTGGACAAATCTCTCAACCATGTTTTTCTCCAGGTATGAACACCTGTTATGTTTTGTTATGTCAAGTTTTTAGTACAGTGAATGTTTGAAAGAGGAGAAATTTCAGTTCCAGAGTGCAATTTTTACGGAGATCCCTGGGGATCGTCTCCGGAGCTATGGAATTCATGCTCTTTGGATCCTGACAATTTCATCATAAGCATTTTTGATGTAATTTTTGTTGATAAATCGTTACTGTTATTCCACTACCACTATGATCATTGATTCCATTTTGTTATTACTGTTCTTGCTTCTTCATTCATTTGATTCATTTCACATTCATTTTATAGTTTTTCACCTGATTCCCCCTTCGTGGGGGCCTAGTGGGCTAGGATAATCAGCGTTTTGTTGTTGATGTGGTTTTTGTCCAGAAAGGCTTCTCCTGAAATGTCTGATTTATGGTGTTTGTGGGTTTGTGTGTGCAAGAGAGATAGAGAGAGCTGTTCCCATTCCTCTTTCATTAAACTACTTAGTCACAGTTCTGTGGATTAAATTCTGCCCATTAAGCATGTTGTAACAAGTGACTGATGAAGTGTTAGCTAAAATCAGTTGTGTTAACTTGAAAGACTAGAATATCAAAGCCAAAACACAAAACCATAAATACAGAGTGCCAAACACCTTTTTGAGAAGGAATGCAGAACAACAAAAAAGAAGAAACAGTTAAATTAATCGTTACAGATAATTTTATTTATGTATGAAATTGTAAATGAATCCTGAACATATGAAAATTCATATTTACTGAGCAGGCTGACTGTTTGTAGTTATTAATGTAATTAGAAACAAAAGGATAGCTACCACTTAGCTCTTTTGATACCGAGAAACACATCCTGAGTTGATTTATATCAAATTGAACAATCGTGTAAACCGAAAGTGTTAACACTCAAAGAAAGAGAGATAAAATACTGTCTGGAAATAACTGTTGCCAAATACATTGAAAAACAGGTTATAGGATTTTGGCATATTGTTAGAATGCAGTAACTCAGTTCCCAAAAGAGGCAACAAACCTACTGGAAAAGAAAATGGACTCATTACATTCAAGACACTACATTGAAATGGGGAGCCACTCTAGCCTGGTGTCTAGAGGCTTGCCTCCAACCAGGTGTTTTTTCTTTTTAATCGTTAACCTTGGCTTTCAGAGTGACCTGGCCTAAAGTGGGTACCAGGTAATGTCCTGGGAAGTAAAGGTGGCCAGCATGATGTTGACCACATGAGCCACCGAGTTGCAGTTAATTTATAAATATATGAGTCCAGAATCTTATGTCTGATGTGCCACTAGTGCAAATATAGGGTTTTGTACTCTTTTTACTTTGCATTCAGATGGATTGAAAGGAGCCTGCATCGCCCACCAAGCACTCAGCTATTTGTCCTTGTAATATTGGAAGTCAGAAGTAGAGAATAATTCCTTGTGTGTGTTCCCGGGGGCTATATTTGGGGAGGAGGGGGGAGGGGGGGGTAGACCCACTGCTCCATAACAAGCATGTCACAAAAGGTGATTAATCACGGTGTTTCCTTTGAAGTCGAAGTGCATCTGCCTGAGAGGGAAGGGATGATCGGTCTATATACAAATGAGCGAGGTCTGTGAAACGGATGAACAGAAGCGGATGAAAAACGAGAGCTTTCCTCTAACTGTTATGGCCGGTGGACACTGAGAAAAAGAAGAAGCAGAAGAAGATAACAATGATGGTGTGAAATTTGAAACTGATTTATTTATCAACCTGAAACTTTGTTGTATTTAGCTGATTGCTGTCCAGACTTGCAGTTTATATTTTGCTAATATTTTTTTCAGGATTACCAGACTTGGTGTGACCTTCGTATTCTGGAAATGCAGGTAGGCATTCGATATCTCACTCATGAGTCCGACGACGAGAGATGGGAAAAGTACCGCCAGGAAAGAAATCTGAAAACTTGGGATGAGATTGGACAGAAAGGTGTGAATGAAAAATACTCTTTCAGCAAATTTCGTGAAAAGCAAGCTAATAATAACACGAAAGCTGCATCATGACGTCATTGATGTGTAGTGTATTGTGTTTAACATCTTCACCCATTTTAATTATTCACGCTTGATCTTTTTACTTATTTTTACCTCTCACCATCATTCATCATTAGCAAAGCATTTTGCAAGTTTTCACTTGCTTTTTTTTTTCTTCATTTTTATGTGTTCGCATTTTACAGAGATGATGTGTGTCATGTATTATGTCATTGCTATGCAGCATAGTTTCAACTGAGTGTTAGTGCTGCACAACTTTTACACTGTCACATAATTACCCTGTGTAAGCAGATGTTTATTTATGTCCCCTCTTTCTTCCCTCCCCCTTCCCCCACAGATTTACTTTCTCACATATTTACCCCGTGTAAGCAGATGTATATTTATATACTATGGTTACACAGTTGTTCTACAGCTGAGTTGCAATAACAGCAGATGTTTTTTTTTTATTGTCTCCCAGTTTCAAACATAGACTCCACAGATGACTTGCAATGATATATTTTCCTGTGTACCTACCTCCAAGTTTAATAGAAATAGATTCTCCACAGGTGACTTGCAATCACAGATGCTCCTCTATGTCCCCCAGTTAAAAAAATCGGCTCTCAAAAAATCGGCAACGATATATATATGTTCATTTGTACCTCCCAGTTTAAAAAGAAAAAAAAAATTCTAAACAGATGACTTCTAATGATAGATGGGTGGCTTTCTACCCCACTAGGACATCACACAAGCGATAAACACCCGATGACACAACGTGCCACCATGTGGATGAGGATCACCGTGGAGAGGTCCCAGAAACCGCGTTCAGACATTTGGCCATTTTTATGGCCTGCCTATATTGCGGCCCCTGGCAAAAGCCAGAGTGGGGCTTCAAATAACAAAAAATTACGTCCTGAAAAGGACGTAAGGACTTGAAGCTATATTACCTCTAATGATAGATGTCCTTTATGTCCCCCAGTTTAAAAAATAGGCTCTCAAAAAATGGGCAACAATATATATATATATGTTCATTTTTTACCTCCTAGTTTAAAAAAACTAATTCTCAACAGATGACTTGTAATGATAGATGTCTTTTTATGTCCACCAGTTTGAAAAAATAGTTTCTTCCCACAGGACTTCTAATGGTGGATGTTTCTTTTTATCCACCAGTTTTAAAAATAGGCTCTGCTAAGATGACTTGCAATGATGGAGGCTCCTTTATGTCTCCCAGTTTTAAAAATAGGCTCTGCTAAGATGACTTGCAATGATGGAGGCTCCTTTATGTCTCCCAGTTTTAAAAATAGGCTCTGCTAAGATGTCTTGCAATGATTGAGGCTCCTTTATGTCTCCCAGTTTTAAAAATAGGCTCTGCTAAGATGACTTGCAATGATGTAGGCTCCTTTATGTCTCCTAGTTTTAAAAATAGGCTCTGCTAAGATGACTTGCAATGATGGAGGCTCCTTTATGTCTCCCAGTTTTAAAAATAGGCTCTGCTAAGATGACTTGCAATGATGGAGGCTCCTTTATGTCTCCCAGTTTTAAAAATAGGCTCTGCTAAGATGACTTGCAATGATGGAGGCTTCTTTATGTCTCCCAGTTTTAAAAATAGGCTCTGCTAAGATGACTTGCAATGATGGAGGCTCCTTTATGTCTCCCAGTTTTAAAAATAGGCTCTGCTAAGATGACTTGCAATGATGGAGGCTCCTTTATGTCTCCCAGTTTTAAAAATAGGCTCTGCTAAGATGACTTGCAATGGTGGATGTTTCTTTTTGTCCCCCAGTTTAAAAAATAGTTTCTCCACAGATAACTTGCACTGAGAAATGCTCCTGTGTACCTCCCAATTTAAAAAGTAGGTTCTCCACAGATGACTTACATTGATAGATGTTACTTTATGCCTCACAGTTTCAAAAATAGATTCTCCACAAATGACTTGCAATGACAGATGTATACATCCCAGTTTGAAACGACAACAAAATATGTACTCCACACATGACTTGCAATGATAATTGTTACTTTGCATCTCCCATTTAAAAAAAAAAAAGATTCTCCTTAGATGATCTGATTTAAAATTGCAAAAAAAAAAAAAAAAGAAAGAAAGAAAGAAGGAAAGAAAAAAAGAAAGTATTGGACATGTAGGGCTAGACCTATATTTTATAGCCCAATCAGCACTTGGTCGGTGTTGAGGTCAGCATCATTCTAGTTGCCTTTACTTCCCAGGAATTTACCTATGATTTAAGGCTGAGTTGACCTGGGAGCCAAGGTCCGGTTTTTTTTCCTAAAAAGTCAGGACCTGAACCCAGGACCTTCAGATCCACAGGCAAGCGTCTTAGCTGCAACACCACGGCGGCTCCCACGGATGATCTGCATTGCTAGTAAATGTTTCTTTATGTCCCTGTGTCCCCCATTTCACAGAAAGGTTATCCACTTTTAATGATACCACAGGTTACTTTAACTCCTTGAGTCCCAAGGAACGCCACATACGTTCACAGGTTCCTACCTAGAAGCCCAATGAACGCATGATGCACTGATTTTATTACTTTCTTTACTACCCCCTGGGCCTGTGATGCTAAACCCCTTGGGACTCAAAGAGTTAAATCTCCCCACTTTCACAGCTACGCTGTCTGCCAATGACTTTCAATAATAACAGAAACCCTCATTTCCTTTTATTTAAAAAATGTGTTTTGCTGCAACAGAATTGTTATTGTCTTAGAATAAGTATGTTACATTTTACATAAGAAATCAAAATTAATCATAAAAAAATCAAATTTAACCATAATCTGGCAGCTGTCAGGAAAGAGAAAAAAAAATGTTGTGCAAAATGCACCGGTTATAAAATAACCTGCACATTATTTTTGGTCTGCTACCCCAGGGTACCTACTCATCCAAGTGCCTTATTGTCTTGAACCTGTTGCAGAAGAACTGTACAGGGCATTTTACTGAATTGCTAATTGTTGGTTGTGGAGTTACTTGTTTTTCACTCTGATTGTTGTATTTTTATATGGTCATATTTGTGTTTTGTGTCACAGTATTTTTTTTTCGGCATAAGTAATTGATCCTAATATTTGACTTTAATTGCATCTTATGTGTTCACTTTTTTTAAAGCATCTGTTTGCAACTGTTTTTTGAGTGCCATCACTATAACTGTACAACAGCTTTTGAGTTTAATTGAGTACATATGTACATGATAGTAGATTCTCACTCTGGTATTGGTGTACAACATTTTACTGAGTTACATTGTATCTGTGTTACACTAGTATGTCAACTTGTGTAGAACATTTAGTTTATTACTCCAGTATCTATGTACAGCAGTGTAGCATCTCACTCTGGCGTAGGCATTCAACATTTTACTGAGTTACATTATATTTGTGTTACATTTGTGTCTCAACCTGTGTACAGCATTTATTTTATTACTACAGTGTTTATGTACAGGATTGTAGCATCTCACTCTGGTGTTGATATTCATCTTAACTCAGAAGTTTTCTTTAATCAAATCCAAAAAAAAGTCATCATCATTTTTTGGCCACAGTTATGAAAGAAAGGAACCATAACGTGACCTTTTGTGCGTGACATTTTGTGTGTGACATTTTGTGCATGACATTATTGTGCACTTATTTGCAAAGACAATATTATTGGTTCAGTCTCCAGTATATTTTTTTTTCACCACTGCAGCTCAGTGGCGAGGGGTGATCAGTTTGCATATGTAAGCATCAGTAGGTAACGATTGATTTCTCTGTAGAGGGTATCATATATTTTCCTCTTTGTCACTGCACTGTTGATAGTGTGTGTGCAGCTAGCATCACAGTACTAGTAACTGGTAGATTCACACATAACAGTTTCTGCATAAGTGGCGAAAGCATGCAGCTAGCATTCTTTTCGCTATGTTTGAGATATAAACCGACAAAAAACAGTAATAATAAATAGTAACATTACTTTTCTCTGATAGTGGAAAGTGTAAGCGGCAGTACAGCCATTACATGCATGCCTCACTACTCCAATAGATTTTTGGTCAGTCCAGCCTTAAAATAAGAGGGCCACAATTTTTTAGGTTTTTATTTTTTGTGGGGATGGGGGGGGGGGGGGGGGGGGTGAATATACAATAAGAAAGGAAACTGGTCGCTTAGACAGGCTGACTGCTGCCAAATGGAAGCACAGAAATATTTATAAATTTCACAAACACCCAGAGAAAGCCACAGACCTTCTAAGTGTGATTTGAAGAAAAAAATTTTAATTATTCACATTCAGGCAGCGCGTTTACGGTGATGTTAAATTAGTTTTCTCTGTGTAAACATCATTAGCTCGACATCATTCACAGACGCCCGCATTCATTCTCTTACAGAAAGCATAATACCTTTTCTTCTTTATGTTTACTGGCTATATACTCTGGCAGGAAGTCCTGGTTGTTTGTCCACTTCTGGAATTTGCTATTGTTGCAGAATGTGAATTTTGCAGGCCAGTAAGTTTTACATGTCTGGCTTATTTGTGTGCAGACTGTTGATTCCTTGGGTCTGAGGCAGATGCACCTTGTCTTTGAAGGGAACATCCCTAATTATTTATCTTTTGCAATAAAGTTGTTAGGGGACAGTGGGTTCTGTTCCTCCCTCCCTCAAGTGGGGCTCCGAAACCCACATGGGGAAAGCATAATACAATTATCATAATATCATTTTAAATATCATATCAGATGCTGTATCAGATGTCATAAAGTAAAGGACATTATAAATCTACAATAAACCAATAAAATAATATCGATTATTATATATAAAATCAGTTGGCTGAATGATTAAAACACTAGGCTTTTATTCATATGGGGGGTGGGGGGTATAATGTAACTATTCTAACATGTATAGTAAGTGCTGACTGCAAAAGCCAAGCAGCCCTATATCTTTAGGCTCAAAACCTCCCTGTCCTATCCCATCCTAAATCATCTATGGTAGGGAATCCATTTCTAGGATCAAAACATAGAGAAGCCGATAGATAATAACCAGTATAAGCCTAGCTTCTGAAGCACCACCACAGATGGCAGTGCACCTCTGCATCTCATG